CCTCTACCATTCCCTCGTCCTCTGTTAAACCCGCCTCTCCCCTGTCCTGGTCCCACAAAGAAAATCTGATTTTCTTCCCCTTCTTCTCCTATGAAGAAAGCTGATGCTGACGCTTTCTTATGTCTTTTTTCTTTGATCTGGAATACCTCTTTCTCTTGCTTCCTTTTTATTCTTTGTTCCTGCGCTTTGTGTTCTTCCACTATCGCTCTCTCTTTCTCGCGGCGTACAACGTCAACTGACCCTGAACGCCCTGTCTCCTCGTCTGCTTTCACTGAAACAGCCGCTGCTATCATACCTTCTTCTGCTCCACCTGTCCTTTTATGGGCTTGTTCAGCCCATATAGCTGCAACCCGTAGTTGAACTTCTAACTTCTTTCTTTTCTTGCCTTGTGTTGTTCCAGCTGTTGCTGCTCTCAATTTGTCGCTTAATTCTCTTACTGCTGTTTTCTCCAGCTTCCCTTGGAAGCCGTACTGTTTATACCATTTGCTACAATAAATGGTGCTGCCATGACTATATATTTCCATATATCTCATGTCCCCTGTAGCGGCAGGCTTACTCCCATCGGACCCCATGATTCTAGCTTGGTGTTCCTACTGGACAACGTGCCGGTCGGAACCTAATTCCTAATTCACCACTACGTGTACTTCAACAGACCACAGAGTTTGTGTTAGCACCGTTAGGTTTCCACTCTGTGCGCTGATTCCACTGGTGACACTTTTACACACCGCTTTCACTCAATCACTCATAAGTGTACCCAAAGGCACGTCGATCCTCCTTCTAGGCGGAGTAGCCTTTCTCTATCAACGTTTTATCACCCTCCTTAATGGTGGAGTAACCGTGTCTTACCCGTTATCTGTGGTCACTGGTCCGGTTGGATTCCGTCAATCGTGCTGAGGATGAGGGAGGTTGGACATATAAGCACCGGCCCGGCCACAAATTCTGCGTCCCGGGTCTTTCTCGGGGTCGGCTGATGATCCCGGCTGTCGACAGACTACGGCGTGTCGTCTCCTTCCTCCTTCCCGTCACGATGTGTTGGAATCCGGCTCGAAGGACCAATTAATGTGAGGTATCTATATTACTTTGTAAGAGTAAAACCCCAGCTCGGTTCAATATACCAAACCCAGTGAACAGAGATAACAGTACTCGAGTTTCAAGTTTACTTGCTGCAAGGAGAATCGGCGAGTGACATGCAATGTCCACTCCTTAACCAACTCTACTCGCCTTCTCTCAGTGCAGCCTTTTTATTTCAACAATACAGTAACATGACAATCATATGGTGTTGACCAACGCCTTATTTGTTAGTGTGAATCTTGTGACTCTGTCATGTGAATCTGTGTGTGTGTGTATGTGTGCCACTGAACAGACTGTTCTCTGTTCCTCCATTAACACATTTATGAGAACACATTATGAAAACACATTTATCCTTCAATAAAATCTAACAGATAACTATAGATGAAATCCATAAGGCAATCGGAAAACTGAAAACAAACAAAGCTCCAGGTAGTGACGGATTCCCATCTGAGTGGTACAAAAAACTAGAAAAAGGACTGTCTCCACTGCTACTAGGTGCCTTTAATTGGATCATGTCAAAAGAGGATACTCTCCCCTCATGGAAAGAAGCAATTATTACAGTTATCCCCAAACCACTAAAAGATAAAGAATTTTGCCAAAATTATAGACCAATCTCAATTCTTAATGTTGATTACAAGCTCTACACTACGATACTATCAAACAGGCTACAAACAATAGTACCAGACCTCATAGATGAGGATGAAACAGGCTTTGTTTCAGGTAGACAGACGCATGATAATATCAGAAGAACGTTACACATCATACATAGAATACAAAAAAATAAAATACCAGCAGCACTGATTAGTCTCGATGCGGAAAAAGCGTTTGACAGGGTCAATTGGGAATTTTTATATCTAACATTAGAGAAATTTGGATTCAGTAATAAAACAATTAAATGCATTAAGTCTATTTATAACAAACCAACAGCTCGAGTTAAAGTTAATGGCTCACTAACAGACAGATTTACATTGGAAAGAGGAACTAGACAGGGCTGCTGTCTCAGCCCTACCCTGTTTGCTCTATATATAGAACCATTAGCCCAAATGATCAGACAGGAAAGTGCTATTGCAGGAATAGAAATTAGTCAACAAAAACATGTTATTAGCCTTTTCGCAGACGACGTCATGATCATGCTGAAAGATCTAGTAAGCTCCTTTATAAAGCTAATGCAAATTATGGAACAATTTGGTGAATATTCAGGATACAAATTAAACATATCTAAAACTCAAATCGTTATGTTTAACTGCGCTCCAAATCAACAACTAAAATAATTAAATGTAAACTACAAAAATGTAGCAAAGCTGTACCAAAGCAACTATGAATGTATTGACAAAGATATAAGGAAAGATTTCGAAAAATTGTCAACTTACCCGATGAGTTTTATTGACAGGATAAATACAGTGAAAATGAATATTCTACCACGCTTGTTGTATTTATTTCAATCCTTGCCGATAAATATACCGCAGATTCAGTTCCAAAGCTGGGATAAGCTTATATCAAGATTCATATGGGGGGGTAAAAGACCTAGGATAAGATATACCACACTGCAATTGCCTAAAGAAAGAGGGGGACTGGCACTTCCAAACTTAAAGGAATATTATCATGCAGCACAACTACGTCCTCTCATTTACTGGTGCAACTCCGATTATATAGCCCGCTGGAAAGACATTGGAATACTTACATATGAGTCCCCAATTCAACCACTCATAGGGCAAAGAGAAATACCTCCCCATATTAAAGAAAAGGGAGACCTAGACCCAATAACAACATTTACACTAGAAAAATGGTATTCTATTATTAAACAATTGAAATTGGGAAGGGAACTTGGACTATTAAACTGGATAGCCTATGACAAAGGATTCAAACCAGGAAGCTATGACTGTAGATTCAAGCAATGGACAGAACAGGGTTTAACAGCCATATGCACGGTTATCCAGAAGGGAGAAATGAGAAGCTTTCAAGACCTGAAAAACGTCTTTGACCTAGAGAACAAAGACTTATTCAGATATATGCAAATGAGGGACTACTATACAAAAAAGGTTAAGAAAAATGAAGATGACATACAACCTATTGTAAAGATGATTGCACGAGCTTACCATGATGATGTTCGCAAAGTTGTGTCAACCCTGTATTCGTGCTTGATGGAAGCCAACAAAGATTCAACACTCTATGTAAAAACTAAATGGGAAAAATAACTAAACGAAAGGATCTCAGATGAGATGTGGTATGATATGTGGAAAATGCACCAGACCACTACACAGTCACACGGATGGAGAGCATTTCTGTGGAAAAACCAAATTCGTTTCTTTTACACACCCAAAATCACTAGTAAACAAACAAACACTTAACAATCATGCTGGAGACTTTGTAAACATCAGGAACCTCACCATACACATGTGTTTTGGAGCTGCAGTAAAATGCAACCTTTCTGGGACTGTGTACACTCTGTTATATGCAAGGTATTAGGCTATAGAATCCCTCGAACATGTGTGGTATTATACCTGGGACACATGGAAGGATCTGTACATGTCGGAGATCAATACCTGATCAAGATCCTCCTAGCTGCTGGAAAGAAGGCTATCACTAAAAACTGGCTAAAGGCGGAAACACCAAGCTACAGACAATGGGTTCATATTATAGGTGATATCCTAATAATGGAGAAAATCACATACAAGTTGAAAGTAATAGAAGACAAATTTCTTAAGGGCTGGGAAAAATGGGTAAGGTACATAACAAATGAGTCATAAAAAAAACAAGTAATATTTGATAACTATGTAGATCGTCTCCGTACAGGCACTGTTCTCTCTGAAATGTAATATTTGTTGTGTGTAATTGTACCATGTGAAAAAATCAATAAAAGAAAGTTAAACATTTTTTTTTAAAAATCCTACAATGTGATTTCCTGGATTCTTTCCCCCCATTCTGTCTCTCATAGTTGAAGTGTACCTAGGATGACAATTACAGGCCTCTCATCTTAAAAAGATGGGGAACTTGCACAATTGGTGGCTGACACATTTTTTTTTTTTGCCCCACTGAATTTCAGGCATCTAACCAAAAACACATTCTGAAAAACTGTCGACTTGGAAACGGGAAGACAGAAGTGTTAAAATGCTGACTCCTTTCCAGGTATTAGGACTCATTCCTGCCCTACTCTTTGCTGCGGCCGTAGTTACTACTGACCAACTGAACCTAAAGCATAACTTCTTTGGTGGAAGTCATATAGGTTATTTTTTAATTCTTTAACTGAAACAATGTAATAATTAAATCAAATCAAATCAGGTTTTATTTATATAGTACATTTTTAAAACGATTTTTGGTCGAGCCAACGTGCTGTACATGCAAATAAAAAACACATTACTGCGATTGCAAACAGAAGACAATAAATTTCAACAGCAAATATAAAAATCAAACACAGGGAAATGTCATGAGTTGTGCTCCGTTCTGACTAGAAGGCCAGGGAGAAGAAGTTCGTTTTTAGTGTTGATTTAAAAACCCCTAGGGTCTGGGCCGACCTCACATGGAGGGGCAGAGTGTTCCAGAGCCTAGGTCCAGCTGCTGCGAAGGCTCGGTGACCTCTGGTTTTGAGCCTGGTCTTGGGCACTATCAGCAGCAGCTGGTCAGCCGACCTTAATGCTCTGGCTGGGGTGTAGCGCTGGAGGAGTTCTGCTAATAGGCCGGAGCCAGCCCATTTAGTGCTTTAAAAACAAATAGGAGTTTAAAATCAATTCTGAACCGAATTGGAAGCCAGTGGAATGAGGCCAGAATTGGGGTGATGTGGTGATGCTTTTTGTGGCCAGTGAGAAGACGCCCAGCTGCGTTCTGCCCAGCTGAGTTCTGCACTAGCTGCAGGCATCTATTTGACACCTTGTCCATTCCCACTTATAGAGCGTTGCAAATGAAATGTTGAAATAGTTTGCTTTTCTCTCCAGCCCACACCACACAGTTCACCCAGCCGGGGTGGAGCTACCTGCAGACTGTGGGACACCTGGCACAGGGCGGGACTTATGTAGCCCTGACGGACAGGAGGGGAAGCCTCACTGTTGTCATAGAAACCATGGCAAGTTAGGCTGACCTTTTTTAACTTTTAAATTCTGTAATTTCACATAGTCATTTTAAATGATGTAATTCAATTCTCTAGGGAGTAGCTGTGCACAATATTCAAACACCAGAGCTACAGCATTAGGCTCAGCTTTACTGTGATCACTCAGCTTCTATTGGATTATTAGTTCTAGTTTTAAAGAGGATTTCTTCGGGGAGTTTCCTGCCTTCAATGATGACATGAAGTTAGAAAGGAAAGGAAAATAAATGTTGTATTTCCTTTACAGACTCATGATCATTCAGTATGCATTAGACCTCCACTCCCCCCCTTCAATGTGACCTCCCAGAATGCAACTTTCCAGCTGAAGGGATCCTTTGTAAGTTCCGCTGAGATCTTCACCACACTGTTACAATCCTGTTACAATGCTTTTGTTTTATTCTCAATGATTTATTTCCTGCAGGCCTCCATTAAGGAACTCCAAGTATGGCGGTCTCAGTTTAACTTCAAAACTAAAAAGCCCTCCTTCTTCCAGAAACTAACTTCTCTGACGGTAACGAGGCACATTCAAAAGTTCTTCGTACCAGATGTATCGTCACCGAGCAACAGCTCTAACACAGATTTATATTTTTGTGTGTATCTTATAATTTCAGCTTGTGGACGGTTCGTTCACCTTGAGCGTAGCTGAAGATGAGGTTTACACTTTAACCACAGTGACCTCAGGACAGAAAGGCAGTTACCCCGGCTCCCCCCCCTCTGCTCGCTTCCCCAAACAATACAAGGACAACTTTGATGTTCGTAAGTACGACACATACACCACCGAACCTGAGTGTGAGGTAGAGGGAAAAGGTTGATCATTGTGAAAATACAGGCATAAACCAGTCATGTCAAAATGTGACTACAGTAAGGTATCCGAGGTTATGGGTTGAGGGTTATTAAACACTCCTTTCAACCTCGACAAGCCAGATCCACTCTGATATTCTTACCTTTCACAATAAAAGCCCCAGACATATACACTGGTTAAATGTTTACCCAGAGTATTATGCTGAGACGGACTTCAACAAATGGAAGATTAAGTATAATCCATTTTCCTGAGTAATGAACTGGCTTCAATTTTCTTTTTTCAGAAAATTATACATTTAAAAAAAAAAAACCGAATACCTTTTCATGAACATTTTGTAATTCTTGTATACCTTCATGTATTCTTTCCTGATATCTTCCATTGGTAGAAAAACCTTCTCCATCTCTGTGTGCGGCCTCTTCTAGGAAACCCCCCCTTCTCTGAGGCTCCAAACTTTGCCGACCAGACGGGGGTGTTTGAGTACTACCTCAACCTGACGGACCCCGGGGCTCACAGCTTCACTTTACGCCAGGTTCTGACTGAGAGACCCATCACATGGGCCGCTGACGCTGACCAGACCATCAGCGTCATCGGAGACCACCAGTGGTGAGGGGTGCTACCTTCAAGTACCTCAACATGTTCATGTGCTAACTTAACTGTGTAAAATCCAGGTTTGTGTCCAACATTAGACCGCTCTTGTGTTCCAGGCAGAACGTGACGGTCAGCTGTGATGTGTTCATGGAGAGCGTGAAGACCGGGGGAGTGTTCATAGCAGCGCGGGTGGATAAAGGAGGGCAGTGCGTCCGCAGCGCTCAGGGGGTCTTCTTCTGGGTGTTTGCAGACGGCACATACAAAGTGACCAATGATCTCGGTCAGTAGCATCACCCTCCACTTCCCTACACATTTAATTATGGACACCAACAATTCTGACTTTTTTTCCCTCCGATTTCTGGGATTAAAGTCAGAATTCTGACTTTTTACTTAAATCTCCACAATCTTGGAAAAAAGTCAGAATTCTGAGATTAAAGAAAACAGTCAGAACTCACTTTTTTATTTGACTTTTGGTCACATCCCAAACATGTTTATCCTCTTCCATAGTTCTATGACTTATTTGAAGACATTTGATTAGAAGTAAAGTTAAGCGATATATATTTTTATTGTCGTCAATTTTCAGTGGCGCATTAATGGTCTAAAGATCTCTTTTTAAGAGCCAGCCTCACGTGACCAGTCAAGAAACAGCTGAGGTTGCTGCTTGAATGTTTGAGTCTTTGGAAGGATTTCAGAGCTTTCATTTCAATTTAAGAATATCGCCAGTCCTTTTGTTTTGTCTTTGTTTTTATAGCAGCGTTGTCCTAGTGCCTGTCCTAGCTTTAACATTGCTAACAGTTACTGTAAGTGATAGCAGAATTATTCTCATTCTTTGTTTGGTTCTTCTTCACTCACCTTGAAAAGAAAGTAGTACTTCTAGAATTGTCCTTTGAAAGAAAATGGAAATACAATAAGTAATCTCCAAACAGATTTAAAGGAACATACTTTTGAAAATGTTGTTCCAGCCGACCTTGTTGAGGATCAAACAGGTGCCATGGCTTCTTATTGTTGGTTTTCCTCTTCCTGTCCCCAGCTGGACAGACTGTCCTGGCAAACGGACAGTCTGGGACCCGGGCGTACGGCTGGCACACCTTAACTCTCACTGTGGAGGTACGTGGAGTTCCTTAATGTTTGAAAAGTGTTTTTGTCCTTTTCAAAACTTCAGGTTCCCTCATTTGTACTCGTCGGTGGATTTGGTTTGCAATTAAAAGACACTATCCATTATGATACACACATTTTAAAAACAACACAAACAACCGGCAAATATATAAAAAAGTACCCCATGCACATTTAAAAACCAATAGAACAATCATGAACAATCAAATACATAAATGAAGATGAAGAGCAGAAAGGATATGAGCCTGACTGAAGGGGTTTGAGTGTTCATACAGACTTTGAGATTAGCTGTACACCCACTAGAGTGTTTTCTTCAAATCGATATTTAAGTTTATTTAGAGAGCTGGTAACTGTGATTTATTGAGCAGGTTACACTTTTAGTTTAATTTCTTAAAAAAGTCAAATATTTTATGGAGGAAGCTGTGTTTTTATTTGTGTAAAGCACTTTGAATTGCACTGTGTTGAATGGAGTATACTACTTTGCCTGCTTTGCCTTGCTCTACAAAGATTGAGAGAGGTTTTTCTGGCTGCTCGGCTCTTTAGGAATTGAATAGTTTGTTGACGTCACATCCATGTGACTGTCCATCAGGATGAGTAGGCAGGAGTCTAAAGAGATGGTCATAATGTACGATTAGTGTATGTAATAAAGCCTCTCCTTGTGTTATCCTCTGCAGGGTCAGTATGCGTCAGGTCTGCTGAATGGTTACCCTCTGTGGAAGAATGCTGTGGTGCTGGCCCCCCCCAACGGCTGGGCGGCTTTAGGAACACACTCCTTTGAACTGGCTCAGTTTGATAACTTTGCAGTGCTGGCAGAGTGAGGATTTAACAGTGGAACAATGATCTGCACAATGCTTTGAAAGTGTGATGAATGCCTTTATTAACACTTAATTGTGCTTAATATATACTTGACTTTTCTTCCTTTTAAAATGTTTTTAAAATGTTTAATCTGAAATAATTGTAAATAATTTGCACAGATTTTTATTATAATGGGATAAATGATTTTTAAATGTTTATATTTTTGTTTTATTGTAATGTTTTTACATTTAAATGGCTGAAATAAAAAAATAAATGATAATGAGCTGGCTACAAGACATTTAGTGAGAGTCTGAACATGTTTTTAAGTCAGTAAAGCTGCAACATATCAGCCTGTGACCAGTCCTCTGCATTCAGACTGAATATGAAGTTTGACTTGAGGCATGTTGGGTGCATGTTGTACGGAAGAGTATTGGGGCCTCATGAGAAAAATGTGTTGGGATGTGACCAAAAGTAAAAGTAAAAAAGTGGGTTTTGACCAAATTATTTATTTTACTTTTCGTCACATCCCAAAAAAAAATTCTGATGTGGCCCTAATCCTCTTTCGTAATCTTTGGATGTAAAGTCTAAAGCGTGATTATGAAACTGTCTTATTTTTTTTTTTTATATATGCATTGCTAATACATTGAGGCTACATGGTGTCTCGCTTAGTTTATTCACCTCTACCACCAAGTCCATAAAGACCCAGCAGGAACAGATTTTTTAATGTCTACTTTGCTCCAAACCTTTGGTGTGGTTTGTTCTATCGCCGCACTAGTGTCACTTCCCCAGTCTGTTGTGCAAATAACTATAAACAATGTTTTCATATACAGAGCATCATTTTGCACCGTAATCATCTGTTGCGTTGTCATCCTCACTGAAAAGCAGTAGTGGATAATAACTACGGACATTTACTCACATACTCTACTTGACTACATTTTTGAGGTAGATGTATATTTACTTGAGTATTTTATAATAATGCTGTACTTCTCTACTACATTAAGCATCAGATACTATACTTTTTACTCACTACATGTATTTGACCACATTCATTAACAGTTACATTTGCAGGTTTATATCATTAATACAAAAATGTAATCTACTAATACACTATGATGTACTGTTATGGATGGAGATACCTGGCAGTACAAGTTATTGACGTTTTCTTATCATTTACCAGCTTAGAAAGGATAATGATAGACACATGAATGCATCACTAATTATAAACAACTTATATAAATATATTATTTCGAAAGAAATTGCCATTTTGGATGAATAATTTTTGATTTGGTAGTTAAAGGTAGGGTAGGTAAGAATGGAGAAGCCAGCTCGAGTGCGCTAGAATTTGAAAATACACAACCGGAAAATATCTGCCCCTTCCTTCAGACTTCCTCACAGAGCCCCTCCTCCAAACCCACACGAACGCGCACATGACCAATGAGGGCACGGGATAAGTTTGTGCACAGATGGAAGGCTGACAGGCAGGTAGGCCATCCAGTTACTTTAGCCGGGCCGGCTCAGATGATTGGTCGTGCTTTTTACAGTAGGCCTACTACGGCTTCTGGAGATGACATTTTTGTATGTATTTATTGTCGAAGCGTTTAATGTATTCATTGCTATCGGGACGTTAAGAGCATTCCATGGAATATAACAAAAAGTGTATCTGAAGTGAATTACCTACCCCACCTTTAAGTAGGCCTACATGTAGCTGTACTTTTACTCAAGTAACATGTCCAATACAAGACAGGTAGCCTAATTAACAGAGTATTTCTACAGTGCGGTATTATTACTTTACATAAGATACAATACATAGTACATATCTTAAGTATAAGATCTAAGTACTTATTCCCTCTCTACTGACAAGTAAGAGGCAGTAGCTTTTGTATTCTACAAATCGATATTCAAGTTTGTCTTTCATGTGTTCAAACCGGTTCAAACTAACGCCAAGTGTTATAGAAATGGGACGCTCTGATTTTATTAGATAAACGAACGCACCCCCTGGCGCGTGAGGGCAATCTCCATGGCAACTGGACAGCAACAGTACTTGCTAACAGCTGCCAGCTAACGACAGAGCGGAGGATGGAGAAAGTGACACCTAAAAGAGTTTTTATCAACAACATAGACTCTTACGCTTCCAAATGTGTTGCCAAGGTAAATATATTTCATCGTGGAACATCTTAAATAAGTGAGTATAGTTTGTAGCTAGTGTTAATGTGAGTTACTGTGAAGCAACAGGGTGAATTAATGGAGGGACGTTAGCACGCTGATGAGCTTATCTTCGCTCAGCAACATGAACAGACTAACATCAGTCATAGAGAACTCATCTTCTGATATTATTACACTGTCAGTCCTGCACATCCCTTCGAATTTTGCACATTGTACACAAAGCTACTTCTTTTAATAATAATAAAGGGTTATGTATATAGCACTTTCCAAACCGCAGGTGCAGCTCAAAGTGCTTCATGGCTCACATTACAGTTTCAAACAGAACGAGGAACTCCCTTCAGATCAGATGTAAGAGCTGTTTTTAAACATGCAGCATAGCAATATAATATAACATTTATAACCGATATGAGACAAAAGGAAGTAAAAGGTATGGTAATACAAATATAATAAATTAAATAATGATCCCTATCAGAAAAATACAGAAGACATACTTCAAAATGAATAAATACAATTACATTTAAAAACCTATACAATGAAAAAATAATATAACAATAATAATAATAATGACTTAAAAATAATGAAAAAAAGATTAAAAGACCAATTTAAAGATTAAAATTGTAAGTCAATATCAAGTTGTGTGTGGATACCTGCCAGGCTTTCCACTTTTCACACCAATACTGCACACATTTGATTTTTGATCTATTTCATTTGTACAAGTATTTTGTTATATTATACTGTATGTTGCTTTTTGGTATATTGTACATATCGCTCTATTTTTAACGTTACAATATCTTAATAATTATGAATAGTTGTATTAGTTGTCTTTTTCCTTACAACTGATCTGCTCTGACTGTGTTATGTATGCACCATGTACACCGCATGTGTTAACCTACTAACTAACTAACTAACTAACCTACTAACTAACTAACTAATAAACCTGGAGCAGTTTCTGTGTGAGTGTGTGGTGGGAGCAGCTGTGGATCCTGATGCAGTGACTGAGGAAGAGGAGCAGAGGAAACCCCACAGAGGGGCACCAGTGTTTCAGGTTGTTGGGACAGTTTGTGACACGTGTGACGAGGACAGACCTCATGTCCTGGAGGAGTATAAGGTTAGAACCTGAACAGTAACAAGCGACCCCACACAGAAGTGACATCAGTAACTCTCAGAGGGTAATGTCTTACATCTCTCTCCCATGTCTTGTTTGCACGCCAGCACCTGAACAGGGAGGAGCTGCTTTCAAAGCTGATGGACTGTGACGTTGTCATCTACAACATTACCCAGCATGCCGAGCAGCTGGAGGAGGCCTGCTGGGCTGCTTCAGGTACTGAAGGCGTAGTAATCATTGAGACTTCTCCTAAGACTGTATGTGTATAGCTAAATGCACACAGTGTTAAGGCTATGCTAGCTTTTCTGTTTCATTTTCTGTTCAAATGTCATATCAAATGTTCTGTAATGATTCATTAAGGCACTATTCCTTTCTGAGTGTACTATGGAGTTGACTTTAGATTTGTAGCATTTAGTTTGCTACTTGCTATATAGGCTGCTTTAAAGACAACTCATGAAGCCTATACCTTTACAATATCATGTAAACCAGTACACACTGCAGGAGTAGCGGCCATTACTCTTGTTTGTATAGGCTCATAGTCAAACCAATCGTGTGTATTCAAACAGTATAACAGATTGTCTGCAGCAGAACCTTAAAGGGTTTATATAATAATGACAGATGAATGAATGAGGTCATGTCTCTTCCTGTATTATATCTTTAGCACTCCACAATGAAATGGAAGGTTTTTCTAGAGCGAAGATGTTCATCCTGGTCTCCACGGTGATGACCTGGGCCTGCAGCAAGCCAGTGGATCCTGTGAGTGTCTCCTCTTGCCTAACATGTCTTCTGTCTTCTTATTTTGACCTGGCCGTAGGGCTGGGATGCATGCATGCATTCACACGTTTCATTTGATTGCAATTCTGTTGAATAAAAAGGTGTAATTATCTCCAGTTCCATCATGTAGAAACAAATCAACTGCCCATTACAAACAACTTGTTTTGAAGCTTACACTGATAGAGTGTGTGACAGAGAAAAACACAATACATAACAGCAAGTGTTGGGTTTTTGATAAATACATTTCCAAAAAAGACTTCAGTACACTTCAAATAAATGTAAGAGCCATGCAGACTTGATACATCTGAGTAGCTGTAATCGGTCATTTGTCCACACAAACATGTACTTTGATGTTTAACCCACTGAGTTGGTTTGCACATGTCCCAGCTCTGTAACTCTACTCCAGTTGGATGTACCAAGCTTCCTGTTGTTGTGTGGCAGGATGTTCCCTTCACTGATGAGATCTTCTGGAGAAGAAGAGCACACCCCAGCTTCAAACAGCACATGGACCTGGAGAAGAGGGTGGTCAAAATGGGGAAAACGGTGAGTTTGAAACTCTTTTATGTTTGTATAGGAGACTCATGTGATGACACGTATAGCTTCGTCACATTGCTGTTGCTTTCAGAACAGATCAATGTTCTCCACGTACGTGGTGGCTTCAGGACTTCAGTACGGGCTGGGAGAGCAGCTCTTCCACTTCTTCTTCAAGGTCAGATCTGTTGTTTAACATCTTTACGTTATCGACTCGACTCTACCATACAGAGCTGTTTCCATTTATCACTCGAACTAAAAGTGTGAGTTGGAGATGCACAAGTCTGGCCAGGTCCAAATGAGTGTTCCTTGTAAGTACAGTGCTGACTGATGGCTCGTTTCCTCATGAAAAAGTGTGTCAACAAAAGGTTTAGTTGTTAGGATTTGCACGTGTTTGTTTTCTGATGAGCCTTCCGGACCTTTCTCAAGGGTCATGGAGTATTTATTGATACTTCCGTGTCTAGATTGTAATTGCGGTGTATAAGAGAAAATAAACTGTGGCTATCCCAAATCATGGCACACTGATCTTGTGATAATAAAATATGAAAGAATCTTTATCATTAGACGTCGTGGCTGGGACAAGAACAGGAGATACCTGTTTTTGGAGACGGTAGCAACATCGTCCCCACAATTCACATTAGGGACCTGGCGAGGTAGGACACGCATGTTCTTTGAGGTTATGAGCCCTGTTTTATCAAATACTTTGAATGAGTATATGTTGTTGTATTTGATATGATATAAACACTGTGATTTCTTTGTTTTAAAGTGTGATTCAGAATGTGATAGAACATCAGCCCAAGCCGTATTACCTGCTGGCTGTGGACTCTTCCAACAACACCATGGAGGAGATACTGAAGGTGTGTGTAGCAGCTGGCCAATAAATCCTCTTTCAAAAGTGTCTCATGTCCCAGGATTCCAATAGCAAACACTTCGTTATAAGGCAGGGGAGTCAAACTCAATTTAATCGCGGGCCACATCAGCATTATGGCTGCCCTCAAAGGGCCGGTTGTAACTTATATATACATATAAAATAATGTATTATATAACATTATTGCCTCTGCATTGGATTATTATTGGATAGGGTAATAACTTCATAATTAACTACGTCTGAAAGCAGAAGTCTGGGGCAAATAATTGCAAGTCTCTTCAGTGAGAATGTCACAAAATGATTTCAAAAGAAAAGCTGGAAAAAAAGTCAAAAACAGAAGTGACATTTAAAAAAAAAAAGAGTCAAATTCTAAGAAAGAGGCATATTTGGAAGAAAAAGTCAAATTCTGAGAGAAAAAGTCTAATTTGAGATGCATTGTGGGACATGTAGTTTATGGGCAACGTGCTTCATTAAATCATCATGTAACCGTATAATAAACATATTACATTCTTTGCAAGCTCTTGTGGGGCCACAGAAAATGAAATCAAGGGCCGGATTTGGCCCCCGGGCCTTGAGTTTGACACCCCTGTTATAAAGCCTGAAAGAAAATGTGCACAAATAAAACAATGTTACCTTTTTAATTACATTTGTGACTCAGTGAAGTATACTCACCTATATTTATATAAATGTCTGATGCTTTTTCTGAGGAACAGATATAATCATACTGTATGTGGGCTCTTTCTCCCCAGGCAGTTTCCTCTTCACTTGGACCAGGGAGGATCCAGAAGAGGCCGTTTGAGGAAGCCTACCTCACACAGGAACTGAGTGTATGTTGTACCTGGGAGAGTTTGTTTTTATGTTAATGCTAACCCTAACATATTCAAATCAAATCAAGTTTTATTTATATAGCACATTTATAAACGATTTTTGGTCGAGCCAAAGTGCTGTACATATAATAAAAATAGCCTACAGTAGAGACACTTTACAGCAAATACAACAGCACAGATTGTTCAGAATATCAGTATGAGAAAAACGACACCCTCTATCCTTAGACCCTCTGTCCTTAGACCCTCACATCGTACAAGGAAATACTTCCAGAGAAAACCCACAGTTTAAGGGGAAAAAAATTGGGAGAAACCTCAGGGAGAGCAACAGAGGAGGGATCCCTCTCCCAGGACGGACAGACGTGCAATAGATGCCGTGTGTAAATGGAAGAGATAATACATGTTACAGCATATAGACCGAATGTTAGGAAATGCATGTGTCTGTAATAAGAAGATGAATCCACGAGGATGTCAGCTACAATCCTGAGGAAGCCATCAGGGAAGCAGCATGACGAGACCCAAGGCAGGACCGCAGAGACAGGTTCAGCCACGACCCGAAGTCCACGACTTAATCCAGAACTCAGGATAGAGGATCCAAGACACAGGACTACAGCAAGAGGATCAGCCTCGACTCCGGATCCCGGTGTAGATATAGATACAAAACAAGAACAAAGATTTGGCTGGGTTAATCGGAACAAGAGAATACACAGACACAGACAGAGAGAGAAAAGGTCATTGGATAAAAGTTATTCTTGATAACCCTCTAGAAAGATCTCATGAACTTCCCCACTCAATCTATCACCATAATGCTTCAGACGGTTGTGTATTTATTACCAATTCATCTCTAGTTTGTAGTTTCTGTTGAACATTTATAAATATGACAATTTGAGAATTCTGTATTGGAACTATGTCTTGACACACCACAGCTGTGCAGCTACCTGAAATACCTATATTTTCTTCACAGTGATATTTGGTTCCATTGTACCTGTACCAAACCAGAACCAGAATCTGTTATCTGGCAACCCGCTCTTTAGCATGAGGTGCCGATCACGATTTATAGGCAGATGGATAACCAAAATAGCTCTAGTCTATAAAACCCAATTAGTTGCTTTTGTATTTCTGTATATGTGCAAATCAAGGTACTAATCTCTAGGTCTGAAAAGTGAAGCCACTGTGAAAGTGCCTTAAACCTGCATTCTCTATAGTGACCAGCAGGGGGCGACTCCACTGGATTCAGTCTATAAGAAAGCTTATGGAATCAATCTTTAGTTTTGAACTAAATGCAGCATGATGTTTATCAGGTGAATTATAATGATCGTCTTTCATTGAAATGTTGCTTCCCCTGCGTTGTTCCTGTGCTCTCCATGTTTTCATCTTATAACTGTAACCCTTTCACAGTGTGATTTCACTCAACAAAAAGTCATTTTAGCAAGGTGTTGCCTAAACATTTCTTCAGTGCTCGGCTGTTCTCTGCTCATCTCATCCTCTCTTGTCATTTCAGCTTTAACAACTCAAACATTGCACCGATTAAAATACCAAACTCACGGATTCAAATCCTTCAAAGAAATCCACCTCTTACCTACAACTTGTGTGTTGGTTGATATATTGTTGAACTTTGGACAGAGCCAGGTGTTTGTTTCAGCCTTTATGCTAAGCTAAGCTAACCATTCGCGAGTGGTATTTTTTCAAACGCTTTTTTCCGGGTTCGGTTCAGGGTAAAACAAAGATGATGCGGGTCGGGTCGCGGGTGTTGCATAATAAATATATTAAAATAATAATAATTTAGTTTAATGTTTAAATCTTCAGACCTCTCCACCGCGAGACCGCACATAATCATAACCTCTGCAGCGCATCAATCTGCTGCTGAGCGCGCCACATTGGAAATGGCTGAGGTGAAGCAGAGAATACAGCATTTTCAATAACACTTCCTCAAGAGCGAAATCCAACGTCTGGGAGGCTTTTGGTGTCATCCTAGATGGAGGAAATAACCAACATCCCACGCTTTTTGAGACAAATATGCAACTGCGTGTGTTAATAATTGCACGTTTTCACTGCTCATATATATGCGGGTTCGGGTCGGGTTGCGGATCTTGTGCCGACGGGTCGGGTCGGGTTGGGGATCTTGTGCCGACGGGTCGGGTTGCGGAACTAATTGGCAATATGTGCGGGGTTCGGTATTGCACGTCGCGGGTGCGGGGCGGGAGCGGGTCTTGAAAATCAGACCCGTGCAGGATTCTGTGTTCAGTACACACAGACATGAGAAGGATATCTTGTAATTCAACCAAGAAAAGTAATAGTGAAAGAGCATATTTACCCAGCTGTGATATGATTCCTTTAAGCTCTGTTGAAATGTGATTTGGTCTTCACAGGTCATGGAAATGGATTCCTTGCTGGTCAACCTGCGTATGGAGGCGGTCCACCTGAAGGAGCTGTTCTCCATCAATTGGCTGTGTGAGTCAGGTCTGGTGGAGAACATGGAGCTGGTGGTGGAGGAGTATCAGCAGAGCAGGGGACTACTGGTACGTACTGAAGCAGACAGGCAGCAGAAGACCAAAGTTGTACATGATGTTGAAAATACCTGTATTGGTTTTTAAAGCTCTGAATGGTCTTGGACCTAGCTAATTATCGGATTTGCTTTTAACCTCTGTGCCATCTAGAACCCTCAGGTCTTCTGGTACTGGCCTTTTAATCATACCAAAAGTGAATACAAAGACCCATGGTGAGGCGTCTTTTTATTATCACGGCCCACGACTGTGGAATAACCCCCAGACCAGGGCCTGAGGCAGCAGAGCACTCATACTTTTAGGAGCAAACTCAAGACCCACCTTTTTAATTTGCTTTTAACTGAATTGTTTTGTATTCTTCTTTTATTGTGTGTGTATATGTATGTATATACAGTATGTATTGATACATATATATAAATCTATATATATTTGTTTTAATCGCAAAGCTATGTGTTATACTGATTATTAACCTGGAAGGGGAGTTAGTATTGTTTCTATTTGTGAATTGTCTATGTGTTTCTGTGAAGCACTTTGTGTTAGCACTGTGTATGAAAGGTGCTATATAAATAAAGCTTGCTTTGATTTGATGATGACTGGTGTTAGTGTGTTCTCTGCAGCCCATCCGTGTGTGTGTGCTGGGTCCTCCTGCGGTGGGGAAGAGCTTGGTGTCCAGACAGATCTGTGAACACTATAAACTCCATCACATCACACTGAAGGACACCATCTCTCAAACCATTGCACAACTGGTGAGCTTCTCCTCAGGCAAACAAACCTGTGCTAGTGTTAACAAAACACAAATAATGGGCCTACAATTCCATTTGTATCTGTTAGGAGGATACTGTGAGGAACGTTGATCCAGATGCTGATAATGAGGACTCTGCAGCCGAGGCTAAAGAGCTGCTGGGCAGCCTGAAGGAGAGCATGGAGCAGAATGGAGGTACACTCTCAGCACCAGGGGTACCCTGACCACTAACACCTGCACACAGCTCACAAGAATCTACTTTATTGTCGACACATGCAACAAATGTACTTTAGTGAGTGTGGGTGCATACATTACATTAGATTGCATTTAGCTGACGCTTTTATCCAAAGCGACTTACAACAAGTGCATTCGACCAACAATATACAAACTTGAAGAAAACAGAATCATATAAGTACACCAGGTTTCATAGAGCAAAAACATTTCAAGTGCTACTCAACTGGCTTTAGATAAGCCAGTCCTTTGTTAGTATATGTGCTTTGTTAGTATATGACTACTTAGTTAGTATATAAGTGCTTTTTTGTTGTTGTATCGCTCGAAGTGGAGTCGAAAGATGAGTTTTCAGTCTGCGCCGGAAGATGTGCAAGCTATCTGCTGTCCTGATTTCTATGGGGAGCTCATTCCACCATTTTGGAGCAAGGATAGCAAACCCACGTGTTTTTGCTGATGGGAACTTGGGTCCCCTTCGCAGTGCGGGTGTAGCGAGCTGTTTGGCTGATGCAGAGTGGAGTGCACGTGCTGGGGTGTACGGTTTAACCATGTCCTGGATGTACGAAGGGCCAGATCCATTCACAGCATGGTAAGCAAGTACCAGTGTCTTGAAGTGGATTCTAGCAGTTACCGGAAGCCAGTGAAGGGAGCGGAGGAGCGGAGTGGTGTGGGAAAATGTTGGAAGGTTGAAGACAAGACGAGCCGCTGCATTCTGGATGAGCTGCAGAGGTCGGATGGCACATGCAGGTAGACCAGCCAGGAGGGAGTTGCAGTAGTCTAGGCGTGAGGTGACGAGAGCCTGGACCAGAACCTACGTGGCTTTCTGGGTCAGCTGGGGACGTATCCTCCTGATGTTGTAAAGCGTGTATCTGCAGCAACGGGTTGTAGCAGCGATGTTTGCAGTGAAGGACAGGTTGTTATCTAGGATCACACCCAGATTCCTTGCAGTCTGAGTCGGGGAAATAACAGAGGTGCCGATGTTGATTGTTAGGTCAAGAGTGGGACAATCTTTTCCCGGGAGGAAGAGCAGCTCAGTCTTGTTAAGGTTGAGCTTGAGGTGGTGAGCAGACATCCACTGAGAGATGTCAGCTAGACAAGCAGAGATGCGCGCGACGACCTGGGTCTCTGAGCGGGGAAAGGACAGAATTAATTGGGTGTCATCAGCGTAGCAGTGGTATGAAAAACCATGCGGGCTAATGACTGATCCGAGCGAGTTTGTGTACAGGGAGAAGAGGAGGGGACCAAGAACAGAGCCCTGAGGGACCCCCGTAGTTAATTGACAAGGGTCGGACTCAGACCCTCTCCAAGTCACCCTGTAGGTACGGTCTTTCAGGTATGAGGTGAGGAGGGAAAGTGCAGAGCCTGAAACTCCGTTTTTGGAGAGTGCGAAGGAGGATCTGATGATTCACCGTGTCGAATGCAGCAGACAGGTCCAATAGGATGATGACAGAGGAGAGGGATGCAGTTTTGGCAGTGTGCAGTTCCTCCGTGACAGCAATGAGAGCAGTTTCTGTGGAGTGACCTGCCTTGAAACCAGACTGGTGCGGATCCAGAAGGTTGTTCTGATTGAGATAACAGGAGAGTTGTTTAAAGACAGCGCGTTCAAGTGATTTAGACAGGAACGGGAGGAGAGAGACAGGCCTGTAGTTTATAACATCAGACGGGTTGAGAGTGGGTTTCTTTAGGAGAGGGTTTACTCTTGCCTCCTTGAGACTGTTTGGAAAGTGACCAGAAGTTAGAGAAGTGTTGATGAGATGGGTGAGAAACGTAAACACAGCAGAAGGAAATCAGTTGCAGAACTTTAATAGAACCATTTATTAATGATCAGAGAGGGCAAAAGTACACACAGCCTTTACTCAAGTAGAATAACTGATACTCGTGTTTAAAAATACTCTGGTAAAAGTAGAAGTACTCACTAAACTTCTTTACTCAAGTGAAAGTAAAGAGGGCTTTGAAATGTACTTCAGTAAAAAGTACTCATAACTAGCATCTGTTTTAAAGAGTACCTGACCTCCCTTTATATTAATAGAACAATAATGTCATTGTTAGCTAATGAATGCTGAACAACGGCAACATGACAACGTTTCCATTGGTCCCTCTTCTTTAGAGAAGACCAGGAAATGATGGATACACGGATCGTGTTCAAATCAATAGGCACGCAATGACTCTAAAGAATAATGATCACGCATCAAACACACATTGAGACTAAAGGAACCAGCTGTTTGGAGAATGAGAGAAGTAGAAAGTACAGGTATTTGTGTTCAACATGTAAGAAGTAGAAAGTACAGGTATTTGAGTTCAACATGTAAGAAGTAGAAAGTACAGGTATTTGTGTTCAACATGTGAGAAGTAGAAAGTACAGGTATTTGTGTTCAACATGTAAGAAGTAGAAAGTACAGGTATTTGTGTTCAACATGTAAGAAGTAGAAAGTACAGGTATTTGAGTTCAACATGAGAGAAGTAGAAAGTACAGGTATTTGTGTTCAACATGTAAGAAGTAGAAAGTACAGGTATTTGAGTTCAACATGTGAGAAGTAGAAAGTACAGGTATTTGTGTTCAACATGTAAGAAGTAGAAAGTACAGGTATTTGTGTTCAACATGTAAGAAGTAGAAAGTACAGGTATTTGAGTTCAACATGTGAGAAGTAGAAAGTACAGGTATTTGAGTTCAACATGTGAGAAGTAGAAAGTACAGGTATTTGAGTTCAACATGTGAGAAGTAGAAAGTACAGGTATTGAGTTCAACATGTGAGAAGTAGAAAGTACAGGTATTGAGTTCAACATGTGAGAAGTAGAAAGTACAGGTATTTGAGTTCAACATGTAAGAAGTAGAAAGTACAGGTATTTGAGTTCAACATGTAGAGAAGTAGAGTAGCAGGTATTTGAGTTCAACATGTGAGAAGTAGAAAGTACAGGTATTTGTGTTCAACATGTAAGAAGTAGAAAGTACAGGTAATTTGAGTTCACATGTAAGAAGTAGAAAAGTACAGGTAGTTGTGTTCAACATGTGAGAAGTAGAAAGTTCAGGTATTTGTGTTCAACATGTAAGAAGTAGAAAGTACAGGTATTTGAGTTCAAACATGTAAGAAGTAGAAAGTACAGGATTTGTGTTCAACATGTAAGAAGTAGAAAGTACAGGTATTGTGTTCACATGTAAGAAGTAGAAAGTACAGGTATTTGGGTTCAACATGTAAGAAGTAGAAAGTACAGGTATTTTGTGTTCAACATGTGAGAAGTAGAAAGTACAGGTATTTGAGTTCAACATGTAAGAAGTAGAACGTACAGGTATTTGTGTTCAACATGTAAGAAGTAGAAAGTACAGGTATTTGAGTTCAAACATGTGAGAAGTAGAAAGTACAGGTATTTGAGTTCAACATGTGAGAAGTAGAAAGTACAGGTATTTGAGGTTCAACATGTAAAGTAGAAAGTACAGGTATTTGTGTTCAACATGTAAGAAGTAGAAAGTACAGGTATTTGAGTTCAACATGTGAGAAGTAGAAAGTACAGGTATTTGAGTTCAACATGTAAGAAGTAGAAGTACAGGTATTTGTGTTCACATGTGAGAAGTAGAAAGTACAGGTATTGAGTTCAACATGTAAAAGTAGAAGTACAGGTATTTGTGTTCAACATGTAGAAGTAGAAAGTACAGGTATTTGTTCAACATGTGAGAAGTAGAAAGTACAGGTATTGTGTTCAATGTAAGAAGTAGAAAGTACAGGTATTTGTGTTCAACATGTGAGAAGTAGAAAGTACAGGTATTTGGGTTCAACATGTAAGAAGTAGAAAGTACAGGTATTTGAGTTCAACATGTGAGAAGTAGAAAGTACAGGTAGTTGTGTTCAACATGTGAGAAGTAGAAAGTACAGGTATTTGTGTTCAACATGTGAGGAGTAGAAAGTACAGGTATTTGTGTTCAACATGTAAGAAGTAGAAAGTACAGGTATTTGTGTTCAACATGTGAGAAGTAGAAAGTACAGGTATTTGTGTTCACATGTTGAGAAGTAGAAAGTACAGGTAGTTGTGTTCAACATGTAAGAAGTAGAAAGTACAGGTATTTGTGTTCAACATGTGAGGAGTAGAAAGTACAGGTATTTGTGTTCAACATGTAAGAAGTAGAAAGTACAGGTATTTGAGTTCAACATGTGAGAAGTAGAAAGTACAGGTATTTGAGTTCAACATGGGAGAAGTAGAAAGTACAGGTATTTGAGTTCAACATGTGAGAAGTAGAAAGTACAGGTATTTGTGTTCAACATGTGAGAAGTAGAAAGTACAGGTATTTGAGTTCAACATGAAGAAGTAGAAAGTACAGGTATTTGAGTTCAACATGTAAGAAGTAGAAAGTACAGGTATTTGTGTTCAACATGTGAGAAGTAGAAAGTACAGGTATTTGACTTCAACATGTAAGAAAGTAGAAAGTACAGGTATTTGAGTTCAAAGTGTAAGAAGTAGAAAGTACAGGTATTTTGTTCAAACATGTAGAAGTAGAAAGTACAGGTATTTGGGTCAACATGTGAGAAGTAGAAAGTACAGGTAT